ATGTGGAACCAAGATGTCCATATTGGTGTCTTTCGGCACACCAGCAATTTTAATGCAACTTTCGGAAGGGTCGAACTCCCCTGCTGTTGTCAGACCAGATACGTCCTAGTGTAGACACCAAGGTTGAACGAGGCCATTACTGACCTGGATTCTGTACCTGGGCATTGGCATAGTCAAAGCTAACTTCCTCCAGGTGCTGATAACTTTATGGTCGCCATGGAATGTCGTTACGTCCAGTGGATAGCACCAACAATACTCGGGAGATTGTCCCAAGATCGACTGTATGTCACGTAGTGCCCTAAGCATCAATGAATGCAGAACGTAAAAGCTCCTACCTTCGGGTGATTGACGCAATTGGAATATCTAACGCTCTGGAGTTATATGGAAGTCTCACTAATGATAACATCGTGCCCTTCGCAGCAACTGTACTTGCGGACGTCTTGTGACTCCATTGGAGCCGGAGTCGAGATATCTGGGTCTCGCTGTTGTCAAGGACGTACAATCCACTACAAGCCGTCTATCGGACCCGTGGCTCAACAGTCGCGGAGCAAGCATCTGCAGAGTGACGTACCGCACAGTTCAAGGTCAGATGATTATCTCCTGGAGAGACTTTATTGACTCGTGCTGCAAACCTCAAACGATTGGCATCTTGTCCTGTGAGTGTTACGCTAACTTCGTCGATGAGAACGTCCTGAAAAAAATCAATAATAGACATGCAGGCTCGGTAACGTCCATACACATGGTAGTCGGTTCTGAACGATCACTTCCAGGGAAAGACTGTCTTCCTCCTCGCTAGGGCTGGCATCGCCATCGACGCTGACTGATATCACAGGGAGATCCGAGTGGATGAGATCTGGAAAATCTCCTGTCAGTACACCATATACATGTAATAAGTGCCACGTCAATGACCCGAATCAAGTTTCTCTGCCGCCTCTCGAAGCGCGCTTACAAGTCCAGCAATGTATTCCATGATATCATCATCAGACATCACTAGCTCCGTACTCCTATCGGTCACGTAAGTCTTGAGGAACGCGAGAAGGATGTGAATCCACTCGCGATCACGCGGTTTTTTTAACACAGCGTGTGTGTCTATCGCACGCGAGAGCATCAATGACTCCAATGATGTCCACCCGTGAGGAGCATAATGAGCTGGAAGAGACGTGAATATAGTGAGCGCGTTGGAGAGCCTTCCTCGGTAGCTGCAGTACATAGGCACTCAGTTTCCAAAGTGATTGGACAGAATTGCAAGCCTACATGTCAAGAACAGCTAGGCTGCCGAGTATTTTGAGCGCGAATTTTCTTCTCCCAGCTTTCACGCACATGTCAATGGCGCGGTTGGAAATCGTGGTGTATATATCATAAAAGGTTTCCTTGTTCTCGATAGCGGATATAATCTCGCGCTTACTGATGGAACAGTCTGAGGACTTGTTGTCCGTAATGGGTAAATCTGAAACGACCGCTGGGGTCGGTATCGCCAAGGAGAACGGTGGACTTGAGGGTAGATACCCTTCTCTAACACCGAGTATGTCAAGCTAGCGTTTTGCTCAACATCGTGGTTGTTTACTATCAGAACATTTACGCACCTGACTTTTTGCGAGTTCAATCAATTCTCCTTTTCTTGCGCTGTAGCGTGCAAGGGATTGTGCATCCAATTCTGGCCACGATAAAGCCCATGAGTCGCATTGATCCAGGACACTAAGAGCGGAAGAGAACGTCCAAGACTCGATGAAGTAATCGGGGAGTGAAGACTGCAACATCTTGTGAGCATGTTGGTATCAAAGACACTGATATGCTTCTAACCTCGATCCCCCTCAGGCGTCTTCCGAATGTACTCAAAAATGTGAACGCCTTCCAACAAATCTCAGACGGTTGGCACAACTTGCTCAGTAGCGCGGACTGCCTCGAGAGGAGATAAACCCGCAGGTCGAAGACGGAGATTGTGTTAGCAAGGATGAGATCACGATAAGGCTTCTTCGACGTGGATAGCAATGGCATTGAGTCGTCGTTGAGCGTTGGATGGATAAGACTGCCGAACCACGACATATTCTTTTCCCTCAGAACCTGCATGAAAGCGGCTTCGAGTTCATTATATTGCTCCAGTGCATCCTCGAAGAGATTTATTCCTTCATACGAGCTTGCCAAACTTTCCTGAAACGACCCTGGGTTGAGACATTGCGGAGGAAATGCTGGTAGGTTTACCTTCAGGATGAAATATGTACAAAAGTTCCACCCCGGCATGTGACGCTGACTTTCAGACCGCTTCAGTTCCTCCTCCCTCGATAATACAGAATTATCGAGGGCAGAGAGTAGACCATCCTTGATCTTGCTTATGAGGTCGGCCCAAACAGCAGGACTTTGCTCGCCAGCAGACCAAGCGAGCTGCACGCACCTATGAGGTACTGTATACAACCACCCAAAAACTAAATTAACGCATGGCATTACCTGTCCCGCTTGTCAACGTTGAAATCTGCTTTGATTTTATCCAACACAGAGCTCTTCATGTTGAAGAACTTTCGGTCCACTACTTTTGTGTCTGGACGCACGACATGTACGATGAGCCACTCCTGGTTCTTCCTCGGCAAGACGGACGTCTGCCAGTCTTTGATCTGCCTCTTGACGGTTGCTCTGTAGACTTCATTATCCTACATGGGGTTAGATAACAAGCCACGTCGGAGTACAAGTCCACTTACCTCACACGTAACCACAAGGAGATTCAAAAGAGGTTTCTCGAGGAGGGTGAGAGGGACTTGAGAGGTAAGCTCGTCCCGAAGGGAGTCGAGAGCAACCAAGGTCACCTCAAGCTCTTGGATGGTGCGTATACTGGGTCGGGAAGCAGACCTCCAGTGAATGCTGCGCAAGGGTAACTGTGATCGTAAAGCCGCAATCACTTGCTTGCAGCTCTCAGAGGACTGGGGTGCTGCAGCGAACGTCAAAAGGACATGCTGGCTTGACATTGCGAACAATTGTCGCGTCGATGCTTGACACGAGCTCTCGGACTCTCGGAGATCTATTGCAACTTGGGTGTCGATTAGTACTCGTGGAAAAAAACAACACTACAGTAGTGACCACTACTGTTTGCCACTAAATATCTCAAGTCTCAAATGCCAACACCAGACGAAGCCAGCACGTCCACTACAAAGACTTTCAGAGACCTTGGCCTCATCGAGCCTCTCCTCCAGGCACTCGACCAGATCAACTTCAAGACACCGACCGAATCCAACAACAAACCCTTCCCTACGCTCTCGAGGGCCGTGATATCATCGGTGTCGCAGAAACGGGGTCAGGAAAAACTGCTGCATTCGCTCTACCCATCCTACAAAAACTATGGGAGGAACCAAAAGGACTATTTGCTTGCGTCCTCGCACCCACACGTGAGCTCGCTTACCAGATATCACAACAATTCGAGTCTCTCGGAGCAGCCATGGGAGTCCGCTGCTTAGTTTTAATCGGAGGAATGGATAAAATGCCCCAGGCCGTGGCCCTCGCGAAGCGACCGCATATTATCGTTGCAACGCCTGGTCGTCTGAATGACCATCTCCAGAGCACCAAGGGGTTTAGTTTAGAAATCTGAAATTTCTGGTAGGCGCCATCATCTTCAGGGTGTGGGTGGGTGCTGATTGCTCACGACAAAGGTCATGGACGAGGCGGATCGCCTCTTGGACATGGACTTTGGTGCCGATATCGACCAAATCCTCAAAGCGATACCGAAGGAGCGGACTACTTACCTCTTTTCTGCGACAATGACCACGAAGGTCGCAAAACTGCAAAGGGCTAGTCTATCAAGTCCTGTACGAGTCGAGGTCTCGTCAAAGTGAGTAAACCAGTCCCGTTCCTCCATCGCACAGCTAACGATGGTGCTAGGTATCAAACTGTATCAACTCTACTACAATATTATCTTTTTGTTCCACTAATACAGAAAGATGCTCACTTAATCTGTCTGGCAAACGAGCTGGCTTCGAATTCAATCATCGTTTTCACCAGAACAGTACATGACGCTCAAAGGTATGTGTATAGCATCGAATTTTCATATATTGCTTATGTCTATCCATCCCGCAGATTATCCATCATCCTTCGCACTCTTGGGTTCCCAGCCGTTCCTCTTCATGGACAACTCAGTCAAAGTCAACGCTTAGGTGCACTCAATAAATTTAAAACAGGTGGCCGAAAAGTTCTAGTGGCGACTGACATTGCTAGTCGGTATGTACACCGTAACATGACATCCCTCATTCAGCTGACCTTCGGAGATAGCGGGCTTGACATACCGTCTGTGGACGTGGTAATTAACTTTGACATCCCTACACATTCAAAGGATTATATCCATCGTGTCGGACGAACGGCCCGTGCCGGACGTGCTGGAAAATCAATCACGATAGTCACACAATACGACGTCGAACTACTCCAACGCATAGAAAAGGTCATTGGGAAGAAGCTCGAATTGTTTCCCACCAGCAAGGAAGAGGTAATGCTCCTGAAAGAGCGTGTAGACGAGGCTGGTCGGTTGGCTGTGAACGAGCTGAAAGAGGAAGCGAAAGCAAATGGAGGGAAAAAGCGGAAGCGATATGGGGGTGAGGCCAGAGATGACAAGGATCGGGACGATGATGTTGTTGAGGCAGGGATGCCTAGAACAAAAAGATCTAAAGGTCACCGGTAGTTGTCCAACGTTCTGAAACGAAACAACTTCGAGGACTACTTACAGCCTTCCGGAAGAGAGGGCTCGCTCGGGTGCTTATGATTATTGTTATAGATGACGTCAAACATGTGCCCCATGGCTGAGTTGGTCACAGCGTCCGACTGTTATGCCATTGACATCGGAAGGTCGTGAGTTCGAGCCTCACTGGGGCAGTTGTTTTTGCTAACTGTAGCTATGGCCGAGAAAAATGACAAGCGGTACCACATTGACAAAACAACTTTTCTTGGTTTGGCGCTAGAAGCTATCAGAAACTTAGAATCATGCGTGCTGACCGCCAAATGTGTGCAATGAGCCAAACCAAGAAAAAATACTGCCCCAGTGAGGCTCGAACTCACGACCTTCCGATGTAGGTTGCGTAACAGTCGGACGCTGTGACCAACTCAGCCATGGGGCAATCGATATCCTTTTCGAGAAGAGGTACACAATGTGAAGTGGAGAGGGGAAGACTCCGTGGACGCTGACCTTTTTATTATTTTTTGGACTTGATTAACAAGTGGGGACGAGGGCAGACAGAAACAGAAAAGACCAGAATGGCAGTACTAAACGGGCTTCAAGCTCAGAACGGTTTTAAAAAAGAGTATAAGGTCTGAAAATGATGTACAAAAAGCGTCACCTGTGCGATTCGAACACACGCGGGCAAAGCCCAACCGCTTTGCTGATAGCAGGCGATCCCGTTAACCACTCCGGCAAAGTGACCTTATGACTACGAATCGGGATAGCAACATGTGTCTATCGAACTACAGTGTCGAAAAAAACATTCACCAGGATATCTAGAGTTGAATCTATACCCCACACCAGCATCCTTACATGAATTGGTTCATATATTGAATTAGTTTATCCACCTGATCTTCCGTCACCGCATTGTAGAGGGAAACACGAACCCCTCCGACGGACCTACAATACGTATTGAGTACGCCTAACAATCCGATAACAAGTTAAGGAATGCTTACCGATGACCTTTGAGCCCCTTCATTCCTCTCTGCTCCGCGCCAGACACAAACTCTTTCAACTTATCCTCTCCGCCAACGATGTCAAACACGACATTCATCTTGCTGCCTGAGCCCTCTAACACCTTGCCTTTGAAGATCCCTCGGGCTTCCCCTTCCTTCAAGGCTGCATTTACTTTCGAGGCTTTTTTGACAGTGCGTTCCCCATAATATTCGAGCGCTTTCTTCCTGGGCCGCCCATTCTCTGCCCCTATTTCCAGCATCCGCCGAAGCACCAGGCCAGTGATGTATATCGATAGGACTGGAGGGGTGTTATACAGACTGCGACTGTCCACCAGGGCCTTGTATGATAAACACAGTGGAATACTGTTGTCAGATACGTTTGCCCACTCGTCTCTGACGATGATGATCGTTAACCCCGCAGGTCCTATGTTCTTTTGTGCGCCGGCGTAAATGATAGCATGTTTATCGATGAATGGGATGGGACGTGACATGAAGGAGGAGGAATAATCTGCAACGAGTGGGGCCCCATCAGGGAGGCTGTCGAACGGGAAAGAAGTAGGGCTTTCTAGATCATCATTGAATTCGACGCCGTCGACGGTCTCGTTGACGCAGTAGTAGATAAGAGCTGGGTCTTGGGAAAACTTATTTTTGTAGCTGTCGCGATCGGGGATATGGTTAAAGGTCTTCTTCCCATCGTCGGCAATCGTCTGTGTGTTGACGATAACGTTGACGTCCCCTAGCCCGAGCCTCTTCGCCTCTTTCATCGCCTTCTCACTCCAGGAACCGGTGACAATATAATCCATGGCGGGCTTCTCCGCCGTGCCCCCACGGCTTCGATACCTTGCAAGCATGTTTAACACCACCGCAGAAAACTGAGCGGTTCCGCCTCCCTGAGCAAAGAGAACCTTGTAGTCCTGAGGGAGCCGGAGAAGTATTCTCATGTTCTCCTCAACCTCCCGGATATATCTGTCGAAATCTGCTGAACGGTGTGATATCTCTGCGATACCAATACCGGTGTTCTGGAAGTTGAGTAGGCCTTTGCAAGCTTCTGTGAGGACTTCCTCTGGTAGGGCCGAGGGCCCCGCACCAAAGTTGATGACTCGATCGGACATAATGAAGAGGATGGGTTCAGGTCGGAGAGTGGTGAGTGGTGACGAGTCGCATAGGTTTTGGCAAGGTGAAATTATGAGCAATTTGTACTGATTACGGCTGGTCCCATAAATCATCATCGCATCAGAAGGCTATCATCAATATTTATACATAAATGGTACGCAACCCTGGTGTAGCCTTCTAAATGATGGCATCACCACTGTCCGACATCTCGACGGTATCAAATAAATTCCACAATATGCATTACCAGATGTTTATGTAGGTCCGAGTCGAGTATTGACAACATCCCAAGTTATACCGTCCGCGAATGATAGAAAAAACTCAACTAAGCGTTATGGATATGAACTTGTGTTGATAGCTCAAGCGACTGGTTCATTGCTCGCAGCACTCTCGCCTTCTGTCCAGGGATCCTTCAGGGAGACAGGGTCGGGCCTAGGTACACCACCATCAATGAGCTCCACCTGATCACCATCATCGCTGTCGCGGAAGCGCTGAGCATCCTGCACTGTTGTGGGAAGGATAGACTCCTCACGTGGGACACGTGGGGAGTAGGGCGATGAGACATGGGGGAGGAAAGTGAAGGGAAATATTGTCGATATGCGAAGTATGAGACAACAAGCCCTAGAATAGAACCGGCGACGACGTCGTGCCAATGATCTGATACAGAGTGAGGTTAACCACAGGATGTCAGCAGTCCCAAAGAACCTCACGTCTGTAATCCATCGTACGTGAAATAGCTACAAGGGTTGCACCAGCCAATGGGGTCAAGGATATCCAAGCCTTGTGCTGGTGGATCGTTTAGTGGACGGGTGTTCGCCAGGACTTTGGTCGCACTTACCGTGTGACCCCTGTTGTCGAATAGGTGCATCTTTCCCGCGAGATAGAAAGAAAGGAAGCCCAGGCCAGCAAAAGACACTGCATAATCATGCTCAGCATTCGCAAGGGTGTGCATACTTGGTGGACCTACGACTCGAGTGACCACTGAGAAAGCTACGCCACCCGTCGAGCATTATCGACTGGTCCGTCTGTGTACAGATTGCGTCTGTCGATAATCCATACGTTGAGTTTTGAGATCCGGGTTTGGGGATGCAACGAGAAAGGAGGTCTATATATAAATTATACAATGTCAATGATTTGATACTGGGGACCAGGTGACAGTCAAGCCAAACCTGGACGCGGACGGCCGACTGTGACCTTGGCGAATTGTGTAATAGCACCTGTGATGGCCAGACCAAGAATTACTAGAAGGTCCGTCAATCAATAGGCGTCTCTTGAAGAAAAAAAAGTTAACAAACGGCCGAGGGCGCTGTTATGATAGTCCCAAAAGGATCGGACAGTAACTAAGTTGACGGCAAGCTGAATGACCAAGGGAGCCACGAGAGCTATAAAGTATAGAGCAAGATCCTGGACAAAATGGTGATATTTTTGAGGAAAAAAGATATGTGAATGTAGAAACAAACACACCGGTACACGTTCATGGACAGCATAACTATTCGTTGGGTGTCAGGATAGGGATGGATGAGGTTTTGAACCAAGCTTACGGGAAGCGAATCCTAGCGGTAAGCGTCAGTAAAACAACAGTTCTAGTTCGAGGACGACCTACGTTTCGTCATTGACAGAAAATTCTCTTCTGAATCCATGGATAGAGTTCAACGCAAAGAACACGGCTCTGCACCAAACTCGAGGGTGAGGGCGATGGCTCCAGAGGAACAGGGGACGTACGCTAGCAGTATCGTTAAGATCCTAACAAAGAGGTCAGCAGCGTGGTTTGCCTCTGCTCAACACACGCACCAGTCTGGGGCGTAACTCCTGAGGAGTTTGAGGCGCCTCTTGTTGTCAGTCTTCTTCGTCGCGACATTGCTGGGTGATCCCAAGAACTTGCTCAAGGGTGACATCGCGAACTGGTCTACCCGGGGTGGTCTCATTGAAGGTGCCTTTTAAATTGCCTTCGGAGCTCAATTGTGTGCACTGCGCGCCAATCGAAACCGAATGCATGAGCATTGTGCCGAGATCTTCACACAGGCTGCTGCTGCTGCGGCACGCTGTCGGGTCCCGAGACTGCGAGTTTCAAAGGCGGTTATGATTTTTGTTTCATTGAAACGTTGACAGTTCAAATTAGCATCATTAATGCTGCACATAAATCCAGAGAGAGTTCCGAGTGAGCCTCTTCCGCAGATCATGTTGATTGCAATTGGTCAGTAGAACTTTGCAGGCTTTTTTGTTATGTAACCTAGTTCGAGACACACATTACTACACGTTGCAGGGACCGGCATGGCCACCACAGCCGAATGCCCACACGACCTATCCGAAAGCTTTGAATGGCAGCCAGGTGTGGTACAGCATGTCTCTCTGTGCACTAGTCTCATAGATCACGAGCAGAATATCAGTTAATCCTGGAGCATATTGCGTCCACTGACACTCTTGATCCAAAGTGAGCCCTCCACCATTGATGTGCCGACAGTCCAACCTGATCACCAGGTAGCACGGAATGGCAACTTCTCAGAGAGATGATCAAGTACACGATAAACCAGGTGCGTTGCAACAGATTCTTGCTTCCGGAATGTCTAGTTTGAGCATGTTTTAGAACATTGCGTTATTTCTTGCCGACGCTGCTCAGCCCATGGAACCTTCAATGCCTGCCACGGGGACGGTAGACAGCTCAGGGAATCTGAGGTTGCCTCCGTTTCCTCCTCGCAAGCCTAACGAAATGAACCCTCATGAAGTACCCAAAGCTCGATTGAATCAAGATGAAGCAAACGAGATGAAAAACTTTATCTTTCGGCAACTCCATGACTTTGAAGAGTGCGTTGGACTGCGATATTCTGATCGTTCGCTGACAGTAATGATCTAGCAACCCGCCGTTTACCATTCAACGAGTGTGCGAGCTTTGCGTATATCCAAAGCAACACTACAGGTTCATCGGCAAATATCTTCGTGCAGTAGAGAAATCGCTTCTTGTCACGTCGACTTGGGATGCATTCCCTATAGAACTATCTCAAAACGGGTTCTCACTAGGTACATTTCCAGTGGATCCGTCGCAATCCGCACCCGCAACTCCGATGTTCTCGCCCATTCCGTTCCTGCACGATGACGCAAGACGTTCCAAATCACAAAGCCCTCCACCGTCACCACTCGCACTTGCCGCAATGAAAATGGGTGGGGGCATGCAGTCTCTTGACGAGCCAATATCACAAAGAGCGATAGGGCTCGTGGACGAACTTGACGATCCAAGTCCAGGACATATGAGCGATCATCCAACTGCAATCACCTCTGTGACAACCATCGGGTCACGTCCATTCTTGGAAACGCTGGAGACCAGGTTCGTGAGAGGGAG